TGTTTGCCTCTGTGGCATTTTCAAGCTGCTGTCCAACAGTGCTCTTAAGACTGTTGAACATCTGAGGGCCATCTGCCCCAGAAAACCCAACACTGGAACCATCAAGAATCTGCTGTGATAGAATTGGAAGGCCCCTGGAAGGTAAAACCACGCATGTTCACATCAGCTTGAACGCTGCTCTCCACAGATTCCATCCTAAGGCTTCCAGGACTTCTTCTAGGACAGTTTTTCTCACCTTTGGCAACTTTAGGAGGGGTGGACTTCAATCCCCATGGCGGGCGGGGGAATTCTGGGAATTGAAGTCCACCCATCTTAAAGTTGCCAAGGTTGAGAAACACTGTCCTAGATGAAGTCCTGGAAGCCTTAGGATGGAATCTGTGGAAAGCAGCGTTCAAGCTGATGTGAACATGCGTGGTTTTACCTTCCAGGGGCCTTCCAATTCTATCACAGCAGATTCTTGATGGTTCCAGTGTTGGGTTTTCTGGGGCAGATGGCCCTCAGCTGTTCAACAGTCTTAAGAGCACTGTTGGACAGCAGCTTGAAAATGCCACAGAGGCAAACAAAACGTTCTTTTTGGCCTTCTCTGCCACACTATGTCCTCTCAGCTTCTTGGCAAATATTATAGGGCACGTAGCTTCCTCCTAGGACAAGGGGTTGAAGATTCTGGGGCCATCTGTGGTGTAGCAGGAAAATAGTCTTCAGACCATCCGCAGAATCCTGCCATCCAAATTGCTGTACGGTTTCTCAGAGGCGTATGCCAATGGAGAACATGTGGCACTGGAAGAGCCAGGGACATTTGCAGGGAGAGGATCAAAAAAGGCAAGATGGTGACCACGACTGTGCAAAGCTCCATCCTTTTTTGTAAAGGAGGTGGGGCTTTGAAGGCACAGGCATGGCTGCCATCTTGATTCTTCTGACCGTGCTGCCAAGGACCCTTCTGAGAAGCTACACCAACAGTGAAATCAGGGAATGGGGTATCCCTGGAAATGCCTCCCTTGGTGCCCACCAGGCTCCCTGCCCACCCGGCTGCTTTGTCTGGCAAAGATGGCATAGGCAACCATCTTGTGAAGAGGCTCCCACGGTAGCCATGGTCTGTGTGTGCCCACCGGAGGCACCCCAACTGCCCTGGGGGCCCCGAGGGTCGCCAGTCCTGGACTGACGGAGTCTGGTATTTCTCCCCGGCGTGCCACCAGATGCGCCAGCAGGAAGTGGGCCTGCCGGGGCCCCTCAGCAAGGGCCTGCCTCGCACCCGGGGAGGGGGGATATGCCCTCCTTTTAAAGCCAGCCACGTTGGCCCCATCACCGAGAAGGGAACATCCCAGAGTAGCGGTGTGTGTGTCCGTGTCCTCCGCTGGGCCGGGCCGTCCGACTGACCTCTGCCCTTGTCCTCAGACTCCCTGCCGTCCGATCCCTTGCCGGACCAGTCGGACTCCTGGCTGCAGCTCGTGGACCGGCTGAACATCAAGGCCTTTGTCAACCTGACGCTCTCCGGCTCAGTGCGGCACGGCACACAGCAGCTCCTCTTCATCTCAGGGCTGGGTAGGTAGCCTTGGCATCGAAGGGGCAGCTGGCCCGGGGGTCACCTCTCCGCTAGCGCCAACTTCCAAAGAACGCCCTTTTTGGGGGGGGGGGTTTCAATCCAGGTTGAACCGGGTAAATCCGTTCTGTGAGGGCGGACTCCAAGATGGCCAAGTCGGTCTTTGTCTCAGATTCCCAGACGCGGAACATTTTGAAGGGCATGCCCGCCCACAGAACTGCCCATGGGCCCTCTTCACATCCCAGGGCACCCTCTCCCGGGGCCGACTGACCTTCCTCGGAGCCCTGGCAGCACACGGAGCCCCTTCCCCAGGGACCTTATCACCTGCTCTTCTTCTTCCCTTAACCACCGCCAAATACATCAAGGAAGTCAGCAGTAGTGATGCAATCAGCGCTACCGATGAGAAGATGAACAAGTTGCTCCACCCCTTTCAGTTCACGCTTTGCCCTCTTGTGTGGCTATAGGAGGGTGAAATGAAATGGTTGGGGCTGAAAACTCCCCGGAGGGTTAATTGGCTGGGCCACTTAGCTGGATTTTGAAATGAATATGACGCATTAATCCTTCCCCCATGATCCAGCTAGGTGTGTCATCGGTGCAGGCTGCGCAAACATACACTAATACTTGCTTTGTTGTTACATGCCAGTGTTGTCCAAACTTGGTCACTTTAAGATGAGTGGACTTCAACTCCCAGAATTCCCCAGCCAGCATGGCGGG